ACTTATCATATTATATATATATATATATATATATATGATTGTGTGGTTGAGATTGTTGAGAAACATTGATATGCTATAACTTGATGAATGTTGTTAGATTTCTATATCCATTGAATTGGGGTAATGCATATAAATGATGATTGTTGAAATGTTGATGTTAAGAATGCTATAGGCTTAAATCATGTTGATTGGCTTTGAAATGGAGAATATGGTATTTTTGAAAGTTAAATATCTTATATTGTGGATGTTGAGGCGATGCTTTGGGAGACTAGTTATTTCAAAACCTTCTTTGAGTAGCTGATAACTCTTGGAGTGGATTATAGAGTCTATTATAGGTCCTTAGTCAATGTTGAAGTAAGGTATAAATTTTAGAACTATGACCCTTAAATAATTACTACAAAAGTGTGTGGTATTGTGAGGATAATTAATAGGTTGATCTTACAAGTGACTTGGTTAATACGTGTCATTGTTGTGGTAGGCCTCACCTAAGTTATATTATACCTGATGATGGTATTGAACTTTTCTAATCTAAGTGACAACATTTAAGAAATCATGTGGTAGGAATTGGTATCCTAATTTAGTAATTGATCTAGTAGACATGTAAGGCATGAAAATAATCAGTTGGTTTGGTTAGGCCAAACCACTTAGATTGCTCAAATGTTGTAGGAGATCTCCATAGTTGAATACTTGATGACGCATTAGTTGATGCGTATGCATATGATGTATTGTTATGATGATTATTCATATGATACATGACTTTGGTTGTTGAATTGCATTGGTGCGGTGTGAACTTTATCAAGTTTTTATCTTTGATAGAGGTGTTGGATGCCATATTGATATGTATTTATGTTGATATAATGATTGGTATAGAAGTTTTGATCCTATACTAGTATATGTTATTCTTTTAAAACCTAACCTATCCTTGCATGTTTTCTAGTAGTTGGACTATGATGATCATTTTTTTCATGGGAGTAGGATAATGTTAGTCAAAGGCAAGATGTGATGTTGTGAGGCCATGCTGGTGGTTGGTTTTGATGTGATTTTTGGTCTGGTTACTCCAATGTAACCATTTGTATAAATATTGTTTGACCAACAACCTAAGACTATACTTATAGATTTTCGATTACTGTGCAAGCACACACACACACACAAATATATATATATATATATATATATATATATATTTATCTATATATATATACTTATATATTTCTTTA